TTTTCATTATACTCCCATTCCTTCCCGCCCCACATCTATTTTAGATGCCCTAGATAACTAGTGGTGGGGATAAAATGGAAAGATTTTCCTCTATTTGATCTATTATACAGACAGCTACTAGGTAGAGTGACTGTAGTAGTAGCATACCAAATTTGATATTAATTTGACAAATCTGACAGCTTTGAGTAGCCATTTATTGTTTTAATGATAAAAACAACTGTCAGTCTTGTTCACTCTAGACCCAATCCCACAAACAACGCTGTACATTTACCTGTTTTGCTTGATATCTGTTCAAAGCTGAACGGAGAGTATCACTCGTTACTGTTTGTGTGACTCTGTCCAACGCAGACGCGATGTTTATTGTCAGGTTTTCCATGATTTCTTCGTAAAGCAGTTGAATGTGGTATGTCGTACTCTTTTTGTTCTTGAATCAGCATGAAATAGCGACTGCCAATTACCAACAAATGTCCATAATGACTCCTGAATTGTGAAGCATTTCACAACGAAACACATGTTCTCCTCAACACGTGTAAGTGAAAGGTTATGGAGCACGCGCAGTTGAACATCTCCCATGAAGCACTTCCGCCGGACGTAGTCTGCTTCCATAGATCGCCAAATAACAGTGTTCCGTTTCAGGTTTTATTTGCGGCACAGTCTCTTCACCATACGGTGGCCCACAAGTGACAACATATATTTAATTTATTTATCGTGAAATAATAGAGTTTTGCAGTGAAGAAATAGTGTTTTGCCGTGAAGGAAGTAATAGTATTTTGCCGTCAAATTGTGGACCTTTGCCGTAAAGTAATAGTTTTTTGCGAAAAATATAGATTTGCCGCAAAGTAATAAAGTTTTGCCGTGAAATAATAGAGTTTTGCCGTGAAGTAGAAGTATTTTGTTGTCAAATTGTGTAGTTTCGGTAGTTTTGCCGCCAAGTAATAATGTTTTGCCTTGAAAAATAGGGTTTTGCCGTGAAATAACAGTGTTTTGCCGTGAAATAATCGTATTTTGCCGTGAAATAATATAGTTTTAACCGTGAAATAATAGTTTCGCATTGAAGAAATAGTGTTTTGCCGTGAAATAATAGAGATCTGCCGCGATTAATTAAATATATGTTGTAATTTGCGGGCCACCGTACCATCACCACCATACGGTGGCCCACAAGTGACAACATATATTTAATTTATTTATCGTGAAATAATAGAGTTTTGCAGTGAAGAAATAGTGTTTTGCCGTCAAATTGTGGACTTTTGCCGTAAAGTAATAGTGTTTTGCGAAAAATATAGATTTGCCGCAAAGTAATAAAGTTTTGCCGTGAAATAATAGAGTTAGAAATAGTTAGAGTTAGAGTTTGTAAAATAGTTAGAGTTTAGCTATTTTTAATAGTTATTTAGGACTACGATTACCAAATATTATCTTCTATCTATCATATTTATCAGTCCGAGCAGTGTTTATTTATTTACCGTACCATCAGGTGCTTACACGTAGAGTGTGGACAGTCGTCTCGCATACGGAATGCTCGTTTCTGCCAGATTATCGTAAGCGCTGATTGAGTGCCGTACACATAGACACGACACAGTTCCTCAACGTTGAGGGACTGTGGACATGATCATTCCGTAGGCAAGACGACTGTCGACAGTCTAACTCACGGGTGGCCTTTATGTTTCTAGGACAATCTTAAAATAATCTATATCAATAAGAATGTTATAATAGTCCGAATATGTTG